CGAAGCAGCAGCTGGGAAGAAGAAGCTGTTGTGGGAGTCTGTGTGTCTGACAGGGTACTACTGTGTGTCGGAGTACCAGCCTGAAAGGTTCAGGGGTCTGTTGGTTAGCCAGAACTGATGGGTTCAGGGTCTGTGCTTTAAGTTAAAGGTTCTAGGTGAACCAAACTGTATGCTTGTGTGTGTGAGAATAAGCCACGTACTTTATTTTTATTCACCTGATTGTTTTATTTACCCTGTTTGTATTTAAAATAAACCTTATTCTTTTATTGTTTAAAAATCCATCCCTGGTCTGTGTGACTTATTAAAGGGAATGGTTGGTGGCAGCTTAGTGTAACTGTGTGACATATCCCAGTAGGTCTGGGTTTGTCACAGAGCCCTGCTGGATCAGGCCAAGGGCCCATCTAGTCCAGCTTCCCACATTTCAACAGTGGCCCCACCAGATGCCTCTGGGAGCACACGAAACGACGAGATCCCTGTCTCCTGATACCCCTTCGTCTGCATCTGGCATTTGGAGGTCCCTTCCTTTTAAGCCTGGAGGATTATCCATCCCCATCAGGGCTTGTAACCTGCGATGGACTTTTCCTCCAGAAATCTGTCCAATTCCCTTTGAAAGATGCCAGACGCCATCACCACATTCCGTGGCAAGGAGTTCCACAGACTAACAACACACTGGTTAAGAACACTTTTCATTGGTCTGTTCTCACTCTCCCAACTGTCCCCTCGTTCTGGTACTGCATGAGAGGGAAAAGCGCTTCCCTCTATCCATTTATACATCCCCTGCCTAATTTCCCAGCTGCATTGAGAAAGAATTATAAAGGACAGAGAAAAATGTAAAAGAAGAAGCGACCACTCTCCCACCTTCCGCATGCGTTGCACTGGAAGGAAATAAATCTTTCTGAGGAGGCGACGTTTGACTACCCAGTGACCTTCCTGCCTTCATGGCGTGTTTTGTTGGTTCTGTGGAGGATGCTGTGCTGACAGTTTTGACGCCACCCGAGTTCAGCGCAGAGCTAATTAAATGGGACTAGGAAGAAGAAAGTACGGCTTCAGTAGAAGAAATCCAAGAAAACGACCAACTAAAATAGAGCTATTTGGATACAGGACAAATTTGCTGTGACTGTGGAGAAATTCAATCCATGCAGCAGTTACATGCCTGCAATGGATGCCCCATAACATGTTTCAAGAGAAGCTCTAGCAAACGGCTAAGATAATGCTACTGAAGTAGTCCCCTGCAGGTCATTTTAATTTGTTTTTAATTTTATCTATAAAGGGAAGATACACCAGAAAGATCCACCCGCCTCTTCATGTCATCCCACCAGATAAATAAACAACCACAAAAAAGCATCAACTAGCAAGAGCAGGATACGACATTCCCCTGTCAGTACCTGGATATTCATTTGCTGCTGCTGTAAGGTTTCAAGATGGCGAATTCGCTGCTCCATAAACAGATTCATCTGCTTGTCAAGCTGGCAGGCCTTTGGATGGCAAGGGGGCCCCTCGAGGTGTCGCTGCTCTACTACACGCTGCAGCCGCCGGTCCGTCTCGTGTAACTTATTAAGGACTTCAGAAACAGAACTCACTTTTGCTTCCAAGTCACTCTGGACCTAAAAAAGGGGGAGACGGGGGGGTGAGGGGTTTAAATTAAATAAGAGTGGAACTATGTCTGAAGAAGTGGATTTGGCCATGAAAGCCCACATTAAAATAGTCTTTAAGGTGCCACGTTTTTTGTATTATTGTTA